GCACCTGGCACACATGACACACGCTCGTGCTTGGTGCAACATTTAGTCAAAGGCGGCCACGCCTCCCGCCAGCCATGCGGTTAGCGAGTTTGTTAAACAGTGTAAAGTTACACGCAACTAAGCACTTAACTGCACAAAAGCCCAGCCACGCGGCGGTGCGGTGGTTGGCGGTGGGTGGTTGGCCTTAGTGGGCGTGGGTAAGAGCAAGACATTGGCATGGAGCACATACAAGCTGCAGCCGCAGGCTGCAACCTTGCACTTGAAGTGGTCAGCCGGGCGAAGGACGAGTGGACGAGTGGACGAGCCACTGAGCAAAAGTCTCGTTGCGTGCGTTTTTATGAATGAGTCCGGCAGGCGCAACAAATGTTAATCCGCGACCCCGCTAAAAGGTCACCCACCAGCTGCCTGACTGCTTGGCTGCCCGACTGCCTGCCTGGCTAGCCGGGCAAAGCCGCAGGGCCAACCACCACCGAGCGAACGGCAGCTCCCAGCGCTGGGTGGCCCAGGCAGTAGCTCGTTTTGTGATTAGGCGTAAATTGAAGCGCAGGCACAGGGCGCACATTGGCCAACTCTCTGTTCGCTCAATCCACTGTAGCTCGAAGTCTGTCCGGCGTGTGCCCCAGACTGGGGCCAGGCTGCGAAAGGGCAAGCTGTGTAAACAGATACAGCAGGACACTGGCCGGGCAGCAGGACACGGGGCACAGGGCAGCTGAGCACTGGACAAGAATGTGTGCGGTTCTGTCATGTGGCTTGTTTTGGTTAAAGCCCGCAATAGATGGGCCCATCAATTTTTCCTCTTTTTGTGCCATTTTTGCAGGCGCCCAAAGCGTTTAAGCTGAAACTGAAAAGCATTCGGGCTGCTATTTAAGGTTGAGCAGAGATGAAAGCATATTGGAAATTGATAAATAAGTCGATTCATTAATGTAAACAAAAGATCAGCCAAATAAGACATTAATCTCCTAACCATAGGCAACTACAAGCAAACTAAGCTAAACAGAAACATTTACACACAAATAAACAAACTAAAACAGAACTTATATCATTTACTGTTTGTATACAAAAATGTTAACTCTATTTGCTTCTCTTGGAGATCTTTCATTTGATAAAACTAAAAGTTTTATAAGCGAGATACTTTTCCTTATTTTAGATTGCTAAATTGAGCCTGGTTTAATTTTCTTATAGATTATAAAATTATTATTAAATTTTAAAAACTATTTTTAGTGCTTTCCATATATATTAATAATGAAATAGCTTCAATGATTATAGATCTTTATAAAAAATTATATATTTGTATATGTATATGCATGTATATATTTTTTTATTAATGAATTGATGATGAATTTTAATATTCGTGTTTGGTTTGTTTTAGGTCACAAATTACTCTTCAAAATTTTATTAAATCTTTCATTAATTTTCCTAGCGGTTTATTTTTGTATTTCCATAAAAAAAAGGGGATTCGGTGTATATTGATTTTGTGAAAATGTATGTGACAGACCTCAGAGAGATAACATATTTTATTATAAGCACTCTTAACTGATTTAATGTAGCATTATCTATCCCTTCGTATGACTGAAGCAATCCTGTAAATTCTTAGAGAACTTATATAATGAAATGTATTTAGCGGTACATATTTTGTGATTATTCCTATTCATTTAATCCATTTTCCTACATATGATGATTTTCCGCCTCTGATAATCGATCATACTTTCCAGAAGTTGCATACCGAAAATGTCAGACCTGTTTCCTGTGATCAATACCCAGAATTGAAATATTATGGATATTTGTATACCTCATGGCACACAAGTCAGGAGAGTTTATGTGTGTAGAACATACAATAGAATAATCGTAATTGTAGGTATGCATAGGATGCAGAGTATCTCCTAGTTGGGAGCTCTCGACTACAGCATGCTTACATTGAAGTATAATCAATCACCAGCGCCCACATATGCTAATTGCCTAGCTTCAAATGATGAATCATAAAAGTTTATAATTTATTATTTTTATGTATGCCGAAGCCATATCAAATGTCGTTTTTCATGCTGAAAATGGAAATACTTTCCCATGGATTTTTATCAAAATAAACAAAAACATTCCGAATATTTTGTAATTTGAGTAAGAATATAATGGAAATTACAATTTAAATTCTGTTCTTTTTTTTCTTTCACATTTTTTTAAAGAGAGCCTTTTTAAAGCGGACATTGTGCGCAGGTCAGTGTCGAGCTAAAACCGCCGTTAAGCCCCAGCGATAAGTCAACTACAATGGGCATGCAGGTATTCTGGAATCGGGTCTATTGTAGGCTTCACTAATCAGGGATACGCATCAATGCATACCACCTCAACCTGGCCGACCTGAAGAGAATGCCGCAGCAATGCATGCTGCCTGACCACTGGCTGCATTCATCGTGCCACAATCGGCCGGTGGGTCGCTGGTGGGGCTTAAGGCCTCTTCTGTCTGGCTTTAAATGGCAAATTTAAATGCGCTTTATACGTTTTTCCCGGTACGCTGGCCTCTGGGTAATTTGTGTGCGCCTTGCAACCTGTCGCTACCACAACTCACGGCCTGCAATTTTTCAGCAGCTGACAAGATGTCGTCTCTGGCTATGCTATGCTGGGCTGGAAGCTGCGCTGCCTGCCTGCCAGCCCGTCTGCCCGTCTGCCCGCCTCTCCGTCTGCCTTGTCGGTGTGGTGCTGCATAATTGCATTGTGGTTTGGGTATTATATGTGCTTTTTCTGTCTCTTTTCTTTCCTCTCTACCCAGACGCGATGTCTGCCTGGCTGCTGACTCACTTAAGACAGCGTCGTACGCTAAGCCGTTGGCTTGGGCTGATTTGCGGCTTTTAAGCCTTAAATGCATTCAGCTCATTTAATTTACAAAAGCCAAGCAAACCAGCAGCAGCTTTTATCGCTATCTCTGTCTCTCTCTCTCTCTCTCTCTCTCTCCCTCTCTCACTTTGTCTACCTTGCTTTATAAGCCACACACACTCTCTCTCTCTCTCTCGCTCTCTGTTTCTCTCTCATTCTCTTTCTCAGTTTCTCGTTTATTATATAATTAAGTTAAAGTGAGCGGCGGCTGGCAATTTGCATGCAGCTCCCATCACCCATCTCCCATCGCTGAGTCTCCAGCTCCAACCCCAATTTTTCGATTTGACAGCTCTGCACGCTAATTTCTTAATTTTCACCTTCCGCTTTTGCGGTGGCAACTAACTAGCGACAGCAGCAGACATAGAACCACACAGCCGCAGCTCCACAGCAGCCCGACCCGTATCCGTATCCGCACCCAGCTAAAGTCTATACATAGCCGTGTGAAGCGCAACCCCTTTCTGTTGCCTGCCTGCCTGTCCGTCTGTCTATCTGTCCAAAAATCATTTCCGTAATTCTATGTCTATTATTATTATTATGACTTTTATTGTTATGCTCAACTGTTGGCTACCGCTGCTGCTGCTGCTGTTATCAACACCCGCTACCATGGCGCGACGACCCCAAACAGAACTTCAGGCTGAGGCATTAACTGTCCAACGCCAACCTCCCCTTTCGCTGATTGCTGTTGCTGGTTCATTCGCGCGTTAAATGTGCTTGATAGGTTAGGGGTTAGGGGCTTGGGGTAGGGGCCAGGGCGGTAAATGAAACCCCCTCTATTCGATTGAAACTAGGAATGGTTCATGCCTTCGCTCTGCTCTTTGGCTCGATGGCCGTTTCGTGTTCAATTTAGCGTCATAATTTCGTTGATGGCATGGACTGTGCTCGTCTTTCAGCCCACACCCCAAACAGCAGCTTGCCTCTGGCCCCAACACCCCAACGTCGCACCGCTCCACTTGCCCCTTGCCAGTTGCCACTTCGCCCTGTCACAGTTGCTGTCAAGTGTTTTGTTAAGTTCATCAAAATTGTCGCCGGCTGGCGGTGCTGCTGCTGCTGCTGCTGCTGTGGCTGCTGGTGGTGCTGCCGCCTCCATTTAACGCAATTTTTAGTTGCCGCAGTCGCGTCTACTTGACTGTCATTCATGCGCCCATTTCATTCATTCATTCATTCACTCAGCCATTCAAGCAGTTCACGCCATTTACAGTTACAATTAATGTTTGTTTGCATGTCGCCCGCATCGCCCCCCACACACACACAACATCAAAGCAGTCCCAAGGCAATTCACCTAAGTCCCTGCCCCTTCTCACCATGCTCTCTCACAGCACTCTTATCAAAGCATCTAAAAGCTTGCATATTTCATAAGAGCCAAGTTCATAAAAAAAGAACGTCGAAAATGCGAATCCGACCAGCCTGGCCAATTGCCCCCGGGGAGCATAAAGGGTCGTTGTGTGGCAAAAAGCGCAACCTTTGCACCAAGCGCCTGGCACCGCCAAGCAACAAGCAACATAAATAAATATATACATATATATAAATAATAATATATAAATATGTAAAACTATCAAAATTTCAATATTTAATTTAAGCGAATTAATCATATCATATCTTCTGAATAAAAGACTTGGAATATTGTGGGATTCGATTAAATTTTAATAAACTATACAACAGATCTAAGCAAGTATATTGCATCCTCGGCAGCCCAAAGCTAACGGTTCCTACTTCTTTTTACGGTTCTCTTTTTTTTTGCACTTTGGCGGGCATTCGCCTAAAAGCGTGCAGGCATTTTTTTCCTTGTTGTTTCTTTTCTTTTTTGTATGAATTTTTATTCTTCTGTTGAGCTGCTTTTGATTTGATTTCGTTTATGTTGTGAGTTTTTGCCTTTTGTCATTCGCTCAACCACCACCCTAATTTGTTGTTGTTGTACACGTTTTGCATACAAAACTCACATTCACACAAACACATTCATACGTGTAGCTCACATGTATAGAGGGGTAAACCAGCTCATTATGTACAAACATGTTCACACACACACACTCACACATATGCTCACAGCATGTAAGAATGTTGATTTTATTGTATGCGTGCATGTGTGCTGGTGTGCATGTGTGTGTGTGTGTATGAGTGTCGAGTGCAACTCTTTTACATACTTTGTGCTTGCACCTTGGCGTTTCACTTTACTTCTTCGGCTGCTGTTGCTTATTTTGTTGTTGTTTTTGTTGTTGCTGCTGCTGCCGCTGCTGATGCGACGAACGATTTATGCACTTAACATAATTTAATTTCCAAAAAAGTGCCGCAACCAACAATAATTTAAAGCTAGCACTTGGCACACAGACACTTCTTGCTTGTTGTTGCGGTTGTTGGTACAGCTTTGTTTTGTTTGGTTTTGCTTTCCTTTCTTTTTCTCTTTCTTCTTTTTGTATTTTTTCTTCAGCTGATGTAGCTGTTGCTGTTGTTGTTGTTGGGAGGCCTTTAATCAAAAAGCAACAGAAACGCTAAAATGAATACAAGTACCGCGCGCGGAGTAAACGGCTGGCACTAGTAGCTCCCAAATGCTTGGACGAATCGGGTGCTGCAGGCGAATTATTCGCGAGCCACTCATACACTTGCACTCACTCGCACAAACACACTGAAATAACTCGACGTTCGCTATGTTTTCTGTTTAGTTTTGACAATCGCTTCGCTTCCGCACCGTTTCAACACGTCCGCTCGCAATGCAAGTCGTCGCGCAACTGAAAACTGGAAATGAAACCAAGTTGTTGCTATTGCTGCTGCCGCTGCTGCTGTTGCTATTGCTCTTGCTGCTGCGACCGCTGCCAGCGTCGCACAGTGGCTCTCTGCGCATGTTGTGGCTGCGATAACTACACAGGCAATAGGAATATTTGTTGAATGAAATTCCATATATTTCTTATTTTGTGAAGCGTTTGTATTATAATTAGAGAATCTTTGGAATAAAAATTCAATGCGTATAAGTAGAACGGGATATATTTATTTTTTATATATGACGTATAACGTAACGTATAATGCAATTCTAAGAGTATATTTATCATGCTGAATCTTTTGTAGAAATATAAGAAATAAATCTTTATAAGTAGAATTCATCTTATGAATATGAATAAAACTAAAAATCACTTTCATAATATCATGAGTATCCCTTGAAATATTTTTATTTAAGCAATTCTAAAATATTTAAGCCAATTTAAATCTACCTTCGCAATTCAACCATTTTGCCTCACTGTGCGTATGTCAATGATGCTGCTGTTGTTATCGTGTTTATGTTCTCTTCTTGCCATCGCTGATGCTGCTGATTTGGATTGTTGTTCTCTGCACTGCAATCGCATTGGCAATCGCCATCGAGGGAAGGTTTGATTTTTGTCTGCGGTCGCATTAAACTGAAGCACTGTGAAATTGAGCGCATAATGGGAATGCCATAATTAAATTCAATTGAAAATGGAATTAATGAAGATGTGAAATAGTAGCAGATGACAGAAATTCTTTGCTTGAACTAATGGAATTTCACATTAAGAATAGTAGCTGCATTGTTTTAATTAATCTAATTATATCAATTTAGCCCTTGGTTGCAAAGCTTTACAGCACGAAAAAAATATAATAATTAAATTAACCAACCAAAGCTCCTGTTAACCAACAAAAAAGCATTCCATGAAAAGAATCTAGTCCTATTAATTAGCCAAAATAGTTTTTCTATGGCCAGGCCTGCAACACTGTTTCATTTGCCACACGTTCCCCACGGCGCGCAACACACACGCACGCACGCTCTCTTAGCCGGCGCCGGCTCTCTTAGGCGAAGCGCTCTCTTCGAACGCAACGCACTAACGGTACCTTTGGATGCCAGTACACTGACAATTGGGCACTGCGTGCGTACTGGCGGCCGCCACACTGACACAAGCCCACTGCAATGGAGCCCTCTGAGGCGAAACACTTTCGTGCTCTTTGGGTGCCATACTCATTTCCGGTTTCCGTTGCTTTGTGTGCGTGCAAAATTTGAATTGCGTTGCGAACTTTGGCGTCCTGCGTCTCTATATTCAACGTCATTTCTTCGATGTCTTTCTATTTTTTGTTTTTTTTTTTCCCCTTTTGACTTTTTGCGTATTGCCGTTTATGGAAAACACATTAATAGCCAAGGCTGTGGAGCAGGACGACCGAGCTGGCGGATGTTTGTAATTTCCATGAGCAATGTCAAGAGCGCGCCCATTGACGACAACTGCGGGATGAAGGGCCCCCAAAATTTCTCATTTGTGGGCGTGACTCGTTGCCCAAATCTAATTGTCTGCTTGCAGCTGAAAAACTCATTTTATTAGCTGCCAATTGCCGGCAATGAAGAGAACTTCCCTTGAAGCAGGCTAATCAACAGTTAGATACCAAAGAGTTTGGGGGAGAGGAGCCGAGTCGCGTGTGTTGGAGCGAGCTTTGAAGGTGATAAGAAGCGCATTGATAAGATAAGCACAGCTGGCAGCATTAGAATTGAGGCGAGAGCTTTGGCCATTAGTCACTAGCTGGATCGCGCACTCGACGGACATGGACGATACGGACTTTTCGCTCAATTTCGCCACAAAAAACAAGCACAAGAAAGACAAAGCGGATGCTACGAAAATCGTTAGTACGCCCACTTCAGAGGCGGATCTGAACCGAATCATCATCTCCAGACCCACGACCGAGGATACCTACGAGAATTGTCCACGCGCCGGCATAGCCCTGATCCTCAATCATAAGGATGTCAAGGGACACAAGCAGCGCGTGGGCACCGAACGGGATCGCGACGCGATACAAAAATCTCTGCTCGGCTATGGGTTCGATGTGCGCACCTACAACGATCTAACCTTCGCCGAAATCAACGACTTGCTCAGAGAGGGTGAGTAATGCCTGTTCTATTTATATTAATAAGCATGTGTATATTAATATATGATAATGACTTTTATCGGAAATTTCATTCGGCTGCAGTGGCACGCGAGGATCACAGTCAAAATGACTGTTTCGCTCTCGTCGTCATGTCGCACGGCGATGAGGGCAAGGTCTATGCCAAGGTATGTCTCAGATTGGTCGCCACAGAGATCTCTATTGGCTCTAAAATTTGCTTATAGGATATGGCGTATCCCGTTGAACGTCTGTGGAATCCCTTTCTGGGCGACAGCTGCAAGACCCTGGTGAACAAGCCTAAGCTCTTCTTCATACAAGCCTGTCGCGGCGCCAATGTGGAACGGGCCGTGGAGTACTCCGGCATCGTGGTCATGACCAGGGAGCTGGCTCCAGCTGCAGCACCCACAGCACAGCCCATCACCTATGCCATACCCAGCACGGCGGATATGCTGGCCTTCTACTCCACCTTCGAGAGTGAGTGAACCAAATAATAGAAATAATATTCGATATCTGAAGACTGGATTCCACTTTCCAGGATTCTACTCCTTCCGCAATGTGGAGGTCGGCTCCTGGTTCATCCAGAGCCTCTGTCAGGTGCTCGACTCGGCTGCCAGCAATGAAGCCAGCCAGCCGGAGGGCGTGGATCTGCTGCGTCTGCTGACCGCAGTCAATCGCAAGGTCGCCTACGAGTATCAATCGAACACGAAGAACGAGGCGCTCAACCAGATGAAGGAAATGCCCAATTTTATGTCCACTTTAACTAAAACTTTTAATTTGCGCGTCAAACCGAAGGCGCCTAATGCAGCCAATTGAATCAGGTTGCGGAGTATATTCCAGCTTATGTTAATCATATTAAACTAAAAAAGAAAATTATTTTAATAAATGAGTACTACATGTATCTGTATCTGTATCTGTATCTGTATCTGTATCTGTATCTGTATCTGCATCTGCATCTGCATCTGCATCTGTATCTGTATCTGTATCTGCATCTGCATCTGCATCTGTATCTGTATCTGTATCTGTATCTGTATCTGTATCTGTATCTGTATCTGTATCTGTATCTGTATCTGTATCTGTATCTGTATTTGTATCTGTATCTGTATCTGTATCTGTATCTGTATCTGTATCTGTATTTGCTCCTGTGTTCACATATCGAAACTCATTTAATTGTCTTCTTTATAGAACATATTTAGTATATGTAACTGTATCTGTCTACTTATCGATCGCTATATTTTGCTTTCATTGTTTTTCTTTAACGATAGAGTTTTTGTTGTCACACTTATCTGGAATTGCGCTAATGCCGCTGGGACGCGATAACGTGTTGCGCGAGCAACGTTTATAGCTGTGGTTAGATTGTTAACAGTCAGCCGTGGCCCAGCTTGAATGCTCATAATCACTGGAAGGGGGATGGGGCGGGAAGTGCATTTATATAACTTGGCTTTGCGCTTGCAACTGCCACGCGCCTTATTCAGTTGCATTCAACATGCCGCGTTTGCCGCACTTCGGTGCGCTGTGCCTCCTGCTGCTGTTGCGCCTGTGGCAGGCGCTGGGTCTGGCGCCGCTCAGCTTTAGTTGGGGGCGTGGCGCACGCTGTCGCCGCCTGGTGACGGCCAGCGCCTGGCTGCACTGGCTCGGCCTGTTGGCGCTGTCGCCGCTGCTGCTGCGCCAGAGCCTGGCCCTCTACGAGGCGACTAACGTGAAGCACTCGACCCTGTTCAAGCACATCGCGCTGGCCACGATGGCCGGCGATGTTACCATATCGCTGGCTCTGCTGGGCGCCCACGTCTGGCAGCGCCGCCGCCTGGCCCGGCTGTTGAACGGGCTGGCGCGCCTGCAGCGCCGGCACACGCTCAGCTGGCCGGCCTCGCTGCTGATGTGGGCCAAGCTGCTGCTGTCGCTGTACGAGCTGCTCTGCAACGTGCCCTTCCTGCAGCAGAACGCCGCACGGCTGCCCTGGCTGCAGCTGCTGGCGTACGGCATCCAGCTCTATGTGCAGCACATGAGCAGCGTCTTCGGCAACGGCGTCTTCGGTGCGCTGCTCCTCCTGCTGGGTTGCATGCAGCAGCTGGAGTGGCAATGGCAGCAGCCGGATGCCGCGTGTCAGCAGCGCCGACTCCTGCGACGCGAGAGGCGTCTGTTGCGGGTCTGCGACGACTTCGTCGGCGTCCTGCAGCTGGGCATCTTCCTGCTGGTCATTGGCAATTTCATCAACATTCTGGCCAACATGTACGCCTACATGTCGTACTTTGTGGAGCGGCACGGCATCCCCCTGACCATATCGAACTATTGTGCGATTGTCGCCATTCAGCTCTACGCCCTCATCCTGGCCACGCAAATGTGTCAGGAGCAGCACAGGAAGCTGCGCAGTCGTAGCCTGGAGCAATGCTATGTGCCAGAGCAGTTGACCGAGGAGCAGGTGCGTCTCAGTTCTATTTTTTGTGAATTCCCCAGCTCAGCTCAGACTTCTTACTGATGCTTGCAGGCTGCGCTGCCAACGCCGCTGCTGATGTGGCCCCTGGACAATCTGAAGTTCTCCATTTTGGGCCTCTTCAATTTGGACAACGCCTTTTGGCTGTTTCTCGTCTGCTACGCCGTCAATTTCATTGTCATCATTTTGCAGTTCACCGTGGAAAATATAAAGCGATAGAAAGCTTTCTTTTTGGTTTGCGTATTGGCTTAGCGATGACAGCTACCACTGCAGCTGGCGCCATCTATAGTTCATTGTTGCGCTTGTCTTTAATCTCATTTTTATCGCTTCTTTTTTTTTTTTTTTTTTTTTTTTTTTTTTTGCTTTTTTGAATAGACGCATAAACTGGATAAGAAAGTGGCCAAAATTCATAAACCACCCAGCGTAGGAAAAGAAAAAAAAAACTAGTTGCTGCAAAAGACGACACCTGTCCAGCTTATGATACTCTTAATATTTATACTATTGATTGAATCGAACAAAATACAAAGTTTATGAATTTATGATCTAAATTATTTGCTTCAAATTTACATATTATCGATGAATGTAGATTACATAATGTAAAGTATTGTGAATGGGGTATTGTGAATTTTAGTTGAACTATGGAAATGAATTGTATGATTAACTAATAGAGTTCCAGAATGCGGGAATACTTGAAGAGGAGGGATCGTATGCAGACTGCGAATATGATGAAATAGAGATAGATATAGTGAAACATGGGCGTAAAAATATAGGGAAAGACATTGAGAAAATACGAGAAGAAACTTTGAAAGAGACAAAGAGAGAGAATAAGAAAGGGAGGGACAGTGGTGAGAGAGAGAGTAAAGAAAGGGCAGAGAGAGAGAGAGAGAGGTAGAGCGAATGAGACAGCAAGACCATAGATAGAAAGATTCTGAGAGAAAGAAGCAGATGTATAGACAAAGAGATTTCTCTATGAGTGAGAAGAGGAAGAGAGAGAAAGACAAATGAGATCTTCAAATAATGACAAAAAAAGATATAGAGATACAAATAGAAAGATATAGAACAAAGAGAACTAGAGAGGAGATAAGCAAGAAAGTGAGAGTAAAATAAGAGAGAGAGAGAGAGAGAGAGAGGTAGAGCGTGTAGGACAAATAAACAGATAAAGAGTGAATGGATAACAAATTTGCGAGTTACTAAAGAAATATAACAAATTTAGTATTAGATTTGAATTTTCGCAACTTTTTGCAGCTTTAAGCTATTGTTAAGTTGTCAAGGTCAAGGTCATTATTTGTAATCATCTTCATTTAAACTCTGCTATTATTAATTAGAAATAGTAGCCCAATACATGACCTCGAGCGACAAATCAACAAATTTATATAGATATATATATATATGTGAATATATGTATGTATTTTATTTGACCATAGCGCAATACACATTGTATTAACTCCTCTTCCATTCATTTCTATACATCTGACGAATACTCTCTAATTTGAAACAGATTTCTGCAACTGTCGATTGTCATGTCTTTTGACGGCATTATAAAAAACTTAATTGGTCAAAATTTCGCGAAAATACATTTAAATTTCATATAAGTTTCATGTCATTAAAGCTCTTGAATATTCCATTTTATTTGATTAACTCTACATCGGTCTGCCTTGTCGCTGTTATGCAAATCTTAGACTTCGATCCACTTCACTCAGTAATAGTTCTAGTCACATAATTCAAACACAATCCATGCCTCCTGCTGCAATCCATAGGCACTTAACAAAGCATATCTAATGTGCAGTTGGGTTGCATCATTCACGAACCGTTCAAAGCGCAAAAAGCAAGTTTTTGGGAACTGAAGCAGCTCACAGATTGAATGGGGCAAAATCGTAATCCAATTTTGATGATATGCATAGTTGAATTAGCTTTAGACTTTGGTTGGACTGAGACGATTTCCTGCTTTCACTTCGACAGCCGCACAGCAACTCAGCAACTGCTTGAACTGCCCTCGCTATTAGCATATAGACATATAGCATATATATGAAGTACTTTTTCCAGCTAACCGCAAGTACAGGAGCCTCTGCACGCGCCAATTTTCCAGACCGCTGGGCGGACGACGCTTGCAGCTTGTCCCTCAGGCCCCACCTGCCCAGTCCTGCCCTGGCCCGCTTCACTGGCTGCCACATCGGCTCCACTCAGGTGTTATGCAAAGGCTATTAGCCACAAGTGCCGTTGTTGTTGTTGTTGTTCGGTTTTGATCTAGAGATCAGCCTGTTGTTGTTATTGTTGCTATTCGCTTTTGTTCGGCCCATTCGCTTTTGCATTCTGTGGAGCCCATCTCCAGCCACAGCCACAGCAACAGCCCATCTCCAGCTCCGGCTATGACCAGCACCGTTAGGACGCCTCTTCACTGGGCTCGACTCCAGCCTGAGCATCGGCACGGCGGGGTGGCATACGCTTTAGCTTATCGCATTGTTGTGTTTACCTATCTTATCTTCGTCTGCTTCTTCTTCGTTTGATTTCTGATCTGCAGAAAGCAGCAGCAGCTGCGCTTGGTTGAAGCTCGWCGCGCTAAACAACTGAGAATGGGGCGTGTTAATGGCCAAGTCGGCTAACGTGAACGCTGGGCACAGTAGCTCATCAAGCGCACCTTGCGCACTTTATGGCTCATACCCTAGGCGTATTGCGTAAACTGGGGCATATTAGCACTGTAACTGAGGAGATCCAGTACTCGCTTTGTGAACTATTTCTTCTTTTCCCTTACAATTATATACAATGATAATGATTATTAATAGTAATTCTGAATATTAATTGCTAATATCGATAAAAATCAATTTCAAACAAAGCTTTGCCTAACAATTGATCAGAGTCAGCAAGTTTATAACTCTGAACTCAATCTGTCCTAGAGAAACAACAAATTAAATTTGCAATTTATTTATTGAAGATTATAATTAATATTATAATGAGATTAACTTACAGCTAAGCACTGTGGAATGTATATTAGCATATTTCATAAGAAACCTGATTCCTTTTTGATGTTCGATAATTATCGATATTTATCGATTTGTTAATTTGTTCTTTTGCGCATAGCTCGAAATACATTGAAGCTCTAGGCAACAAAACTTATGTACTACCCCTTTAGTATACCCCCATATCAGAAATATTTGTTTTTATCTCTATACATTACTTGGTTCAGTATTCAGCTGTCAGTCCATATAAACACAGAGTCTACAAATCTGACACATTTCAATTTCTCATTTCAGTTACAAACTTAAACGACTTCTTCTATAGGGTATTCCCTCGTCGTGCACTCTCCGCCTAAGCACTCTGTTTGGCTTCCTCGTCTTCTGCTGGCACTGCCATTTCTTCTTCTTCTACTGCATGTTTATGTTAATAAGTTTGGCTGTTTATTGTTTTTATTATTACAAAGTCTATTGCCATTTTGCTGCTGCTGTTGTTGTTGTTGTTGCCTTCTCTGTTGTTGCCTTTTGGGCTAGTCTTCCTTCTTTCATTTCTTAACATTTCCATTTCATTATATTTCAATTCATTTCATTTCTTTTGAATTGCTTTCATTATAAGGCCATAAACAAAGCTTTAACGGTCTCTTTGTTTTATCAAAATATCTGTCATATATGTATGTTATCTAAGTTTTAGCTATGAAGCAGGATAAAAGCTTAGCTGCGCTGGTGCTGCGGCTGCGGCTGCTGCTGCTGCTGCATTCTTTTGACCCAGACTTTGTTGGGGCACATTTTCTTCATTTTCCTGAAACTTGCTGCACTTGTCGCTCTTCTGCTGCTCGCTCTTCTTCTTGTTGTTGGAAAACTCGTCGCATCATCTGCTCGCATAGAGCCAGCTAGACTTAACTTGGCTTGCGGCTTGCGACTGGGCCAGCTCGATTCAGTTGATCGCGAGGTGTTTGCGCTGTCGGTTGTGCGCGATGTAAGAGAGACTCCAACTCTGTCTGTGTGTGCGTGTGTGTGTCTGTGTTTATTTCGGTTCAATTGTATCCAAAAAACGCATTCAACAAAAGTACAACAAACGAATTCATAGATATTCGCCGAGTGTGCCAAACATTATGGCTGGGCTGAGCCAAATTTATGCCGCCTGCTTGGCCGCCTGGATGATCAGCCAGTGCGTAGCTGTGGCCCAAACGGGATTAGAGCAAGGCAAGTGGCACTTGTTATGGCCTTGTTAGTGAGTGTGTGTGCCTATGTGTGTATGTGTGTGCGTATTAGAGAGTTGTGCGTGTGGATTTGTCAATGCAGCTTCGACGTCTCCAAAGCCTCTTGAAGTCTTCCAGTCTGCGGCTCTTTCGTCTGCGGCTCTTTCGTTTTGTTGCATTGGCCAACTTGTTTGTCGCGCTGCACCGTTAAATAACCCCAATTTCAATTTGAACGCCGTAAATTTACATATGTCTGCCACGATAAGAGACTAGGAAGCGGGAGCTCAATCAATTGGTCAATTTGTTGGCCTGTTGATGCAACATGTGGCACAGTTGGGCCAGGCACTGACTGACTGCAGCACAAAACTTGTTGCCCCATTTCCCAACCAGCTCCTGCGTCCACAAGCACACACACACACACACTCACACACGCGTGTCCCATAAACAACAAAAAGTTTTGGTGGCCCAAAGTTGAAACGAAGAACTGGAAACACTTAAAGAGTTGCCGCAATTTTCTAATTAAGTTTTCATTTGAGCGTCTCTTGGAATATATGTATATAAAACACTAACCGCTTGAACTTAATGCTTAAGTATACCAACGGCTCACCCCACTTGACCCACCGCACCACCAGCAAGTTTCCTATGAGAAACACTGAGCGGCGCTAGTTAAATGTGAAATGCACTCAAATTAAACATCATTGACATGATGGAAGAGCGGGGCGCAGTGACAATCGAGTGAATGTGCCATAAACTGTGAATGATAGATATTATGTTAAACTAGTTCGATTCGAAAACTAGGTAATATCGATCTCAAGTGTTACAAGGCTAGTCAAATTAAAACTGGAGCTCGTGCCATTATCGAATGGAACTAAGATAAAACCAGCTCAACGCGATAAACGTTAACAATGCAGCGCTAAACACTTGGCTATAATAGATGCCTATCCCAGATGGATAGTCTTGAATGCGAGTCGATGATTATGAAAAGGCGAAGACAAATCACAATTATTTGTTTAACTGAAACAAAAAGTGCAAAGCCCATGATGAACTGTCCATTGTAAATGTTTTACTTTTCCTTAAGAATACTAAACAAAATTAATGCCCATCATAAATTCGAGTCGAATGATGTGTAGAGGCCAAGACAAATCTCTAATTTTTGTCTGCCGAAACAATGAAAGGAAAAGTTTTTTATTTCATGATGCACATGTATTGGATGTGTTTTGATATAACCGTTATCTGTAATAAAAACAAAGCCAAAACAACAAAGAAGACAAAAAAAAATAAAAATTGTAAACATAAGTATTACAAATTTTC